AGGGGTGAGGGGCAGAGGGCCCCGAGGGCTGTGAAGGACGTCCTAAGGCCTGGCTTTTGTGAGACGGGGCATCGCAGGGTCTGGAGAGAAGGATTGAGACTTTCTGGTCGGCATTTTAACAGCGTCTCTCCGGCTTCTGTGTTGAGCAGAGATGGTGGGGCGTGAGCCAGGACAAGGAGGCCAGGGTGGAGGCTAAAACAGAGGCCCAGGTGAGGAGTGTGGAGTGAGGGGTACAGGGTGAGGGTGGCCGGGCCCCGAGAGCTGCGGTGGGGGTGAGCAGGAGGGTTGGACTCTGTTTGCATCGGAGGCAGAAACAACAGTATTTGTTCACGTTGTGTAGGGGAGCGGGTGAGAGACAACGAAACATAATCCCCATGTTTGGGCCTGAGCGACCTAAGAATGGAGGAGTCTTTTTCTAAGATGGGAAGGCTGGGGCAGGGGCAGCTTGGCAGGAGAGACATGACCAAGAGTTCCACTCTGGCCCAGACTAAACTCAAGTTGCTGAACAGGGACATGGAGCGGGCAGGGGGTGAATCTGGCACTCGGGGAGAGGGCTATGAGGGAGCCACGGGGGAGCCTCCGTGGCAAGGTGCTGGTTGGTCACCGCGCCGAGGCCCCATGACAGCACCAGGCATGCACGGAGATGCGGAGATGGCACGAAGTGGGCCCGGGGCCCGCCAGCCTTTAGAGATGGGAGGAGGACCCGGGTGAGCGCCGTCCCCTGGAAGCCAAGCAGGGGTGTGTGAAGGACAAAGGAGGGCCCGTGGCTGCTGAGCGCTGACAATTAGCACTGCACTGGGCAACGTGGGGGCCACTGGTGAACTGAAGAAAGCGGTGTGGGCTGCGTGGCAGGGCCAGAACCGGACCACAACAGGTTGAAGAGAGGACAAGAAGAGATTTGGAGACCACAAGCTCCGACGCCACCTTCGAGCAGTTTTGCCAGTAAAGGGAGCAGAAAATGGGCCACTAGCTGGAGGGCCGAGAGAGGGGCGTTTTTAAGACGTAAAAACTCTTAATTGCTTTTTTAATTTAAATTTAAATTCTGAATAGGTAAGATATTCCCATGATCCTAATTACCCAAGATTCCAGAGGGCGTTTGGTAATCTCCCGCGCCTCCCCCACTCCCACACCCTCAGCCATTCTGTTCCTCGCCCTGTGGTCTCCCCATGTAATCAGATGCTTGTCAACAGAGTATTCTTTTTCCCCTTTGCCCACAAATGGTAACATCCCAGACACACTGAGCGGTGCCTTGTGTTTTTATACTTAACGTATCCTGAATATCATTCCAGAGCAATACACAAAGAGCGTTCTAGTCTTTTTTTTGTGCCTTCATATTATTCCTTTCTATGAGGCACCATATATAGTTTTTATCCAGTCCTCCATGATGGACAATCATTTGAGATCAGTTCTATTATTATCTCTGCTTTACAGAGAGACAGCCAAGGCACTGAGAAGTTCTCGGGCTTTAGCATGCTGTGGCGTGGGAACTCCATGCCCTTAACCACTCACTGGACTCTCCCCCTCCTCCTGGGTTAGCTTCCAACCCTGTTTCTCCCTCACTCCTCCACTTAACAATTATTTTGTTATCCTTTTGTTCATTCAAATAACACATATTTACAAGCCCTGACCATGTGCCAGACACAGGGCTGGGCCCAGAGGAGGTAGAGGGACATGGCAGAGAAGTCCACTGCCATCGAGGAGCTTACAAACTGCCTTTGTGTGTTTTTGTAAGCCACCTCAAATCTTCCACGGAACAACGCAGAGAATAAACAAAGAAGCCCAGTCCCTGTTTTTCCTAATGAGGAAACCAAACGTGCCAACAAATCACTGTTGCAGTCGTGTGAGCTGAATACCATAAAAGAAGCCTGGGAACCCAAAACAGTAACTCTGCGATGCTGGCCCCATCCCCTCAGCCTGGCCCTCCTCCAGTTTCCCCTCTCAATGAAAGGCCCACTACCCAGCCAGGGCCCAAAGCCCTCCTGCCTTTGGCTCCTCCCACTTCTGTCCCTAGGTCATCCGCTCTGTCGCTGAGACCACCCCCTGGAGACCTCTGGACTCTGCCCAGCCTCACGCTCCATGGCTACCAGCCTTACTCAGGCCTTCTCTTACAGGAGCCACCCAATAACTTCTTCCCTGGTCTTCACGTTTCCACCCCAGCCCCTTCCCACCCACTGGCCATCCCACTGGTGCGTCACTGTGTCATTCCCCTGTTCTTACCATCTAAGGCTTCCTTTTGCCGTCCTTGGGCTAATAATGTCCTGGTACAGCCCAGTGGTTAGGATCATGGGCTCTGGAGCCTGAATCCCAGCTCTGCCACTCATTAGCTGTGTGAACTTGAGCGACCTACTTAACCTCTTTCTGCCTTAGATGAGGCAAAATGAGATAATGAGATAAATCAGGTAATGATAATTATAGACCCTACTATATAGCTGTTGTGAGGATTAAATTATAATGATAAGGCCCTTGTGATCTGGACCCTGCTGAGGTCTCCAGTCTCACGGTTCTTATCTCCCTATAAATCAGCTGAAATACTTTTAATTTCCCGAGAGCATCAAATTCTCTCTCTCTCTCCCTCTTCCCTGCAACCCCTCTGAGCTGAAGCTGGGCCCAGGGCCCAGTTCTTCCCCACTGGATCTCCAAAGCTGGGCACACAGTATGTTGAGTGAATGAATGAATGGGGTAGGCATTGTGTTTGGGTTCTGATGGATGAGTAGGAGTTTTCCAGGTGAACAAGTGTTTGAGGAAGGACTAAAAGAACTTGCTCCATCCCAGTGCTTGGAAACAGAAGGAAGGTAAGACTGGAGAGAAAGGCTGCATTCGGTCCAGACCTTTCCATGGAGGCAGAGGATATTCATGAAGGGAAGGTTTTCGTGACAGTGTGAGAGTCACTTAAGGAGAGACTGAGGCCAGAAGCCAGGGGTGTGGCTAAGCTCCAGCAGAGCAATGGAAGGGCCTGAACCAGGGCAGTAGCAGTGGGAATGGAATGAAGACGGAGGTGTGAGAGACCGAGGAAAAGACTCACCTCCTCAATACTTTTCCTGAATGCCCCCTAGAAATGATATTAGGGGATCATGGGACTAAAGAGCTGAAGTAGCATTTCCCCCTATCTTCAAGTAGCTCAAATCCTAGGAAAGGCAGACAGACCTAAAAATAAAAATATGGATGCAGAGAAGGCCAAATTAAGTATCGCTGCACCAGCCTCACACAGATATCGCCACACGTGTAAAATCTGCAAAGTGAAGCACCATGCATTTCTTTTTTTCTTTTTTTTTTTTAAAGATTTTATTTATTTATTTGAGAGAGAGAGAGAATGAGAGATAGAAAGCATGAGAGGGAAGAGGGTCAGAGGGAGAAGCAGACTCCCTGCTGAGCAGGAAGCCCGATGCAGGACTCGATCCCGGGACTCCAGGATCATGACCTGAGCCGAAGGCAGTCGCTTAACCAACTGAGCCACCCAGGCGCCCCGCACCATGCATTTCTGAGTGCCTCTCTCATCCACCCCAAGGCTTCTTTTAAGTTCTCAAATTTTTCTTTGTTTAAACATAAGCCAGTATATTTCCACAGCCCACCAACTTTTAGAGGCAGTGTAGAGGTTTAGATGGGCCCGCTTCTACCACTTAGCAGCCCGTGATCTCGGACAAGCTACTGAATTGTCTTACCAAGCCCGTGTTACCCATCATATGAAGATGAGTGGGAATGGCAGGGGTGGCAGGGGAAAGAACAAAATGGGGCTGGAGGTGTGGGTAGAGGCAAGATCCTTTTTTTAAAGATTTTATTTATTTATTTGACAGAGAGAGACACAGCAAGAGAGGGAACACAAGCAGCGGGAGTGGGAGAGGGAGAAGCAGGCTTCCCGCGGAGCAGGGAGCCCAATGCGGGGCTCGATCCCAGGACCCTGGGACCATGACCTGAGCTGAAGGCAGACGCTGAACGCCTGAGCCACCCAGGCGCGCCGCCCCCACCCCCCGCCTTTTTTTAAAGAGTTTATTTTAGAGGCAAGACCCTGCAGGGCCTTGTGAGCTACCATAAAGGTTTTGGACTTATTTAATTTTAAGATATTTATTATTTATTTATTACTATTTATTATAGCAGGACCGGAGGGAGGGTGAGGAGAGGGACAAGCGGACTCCCCGATGAGCAATACAGGGCTCTATCCCAGAACCCTGAGATCATGACCTGAGCTGAAGTCAGTTGCTTGAGTGACTGAGCCACCCAGGCGCCCCAATTTATTTATTTATTTTGAGTAATCTCTACACCCAAGCTGTAGGCTTGAACTCACAATCTAGAGATCGAGTCGCACGCTCCACTGACTGAGCCAGCCAGGCGCCTCAAAGTTTCGGACTTTATTATTAGTTTAGTGGGAAGCTACTGAGGTTGTTTTTGGGTCCCAGCTTATTATCACTTTTCAATTGCGATGTAATCTGCCTACAATTAAATGCAAAGATCTTAACTATAGAGTTCAATGCGGGTTTTAAAAAGATTTTGTTTCTAAGTAACCTCTGTACCCAGCGTGGGGCTTGAACTCACAACCCTGCTATCAAGGGTCGCATGCCCTACCCACTGAGCCAGCCAGGCACCCCTGACAATTGCATCCATCTGTGTAACCCACCCCCTAGAAGATACGAAACATTTCTATCAGGTCCCGCCTGCCCCTTTCCAGTTAATTCTCCCGCCTCCAGGGTACTGAGGGGTCTAAGCATCCTGTCCCGGCTTTTGAGAGGACCCCTCCGGCTGCGGCGCAGAGCACAACCTGAGACCCGGAAGAAGAGAGTATAGCCCTAGCCAAGCCGGTGAAGTCTGGAATGCACCGAGGTCGCCTAGCAACCAGAGAGCGCGGTCGGAGGGTTGACGGCTCCGCCCCGGCAGAAGGGGAGGCCCCGCCCCGCCCCGCCCCCGCGCCGCGTCGGGGGGCGGGCAAAGGCTTCTTATTGGTCTGTTCTCCGGAAGTGAGATTCGGAGTCTCGTCCCAAGTCGGCTGCGCGTGGGAGCGCGGTGCGTGGCCGCGGCGCGTGGTTCGTGGCGGGGCAGCGCCGGGTCGTGCGACGGGTGCTCGTACCTCTTCCACGGGAGCGAGGGCCCCCCCCCCCCGCTAATCCTCAGGTTCCTCACTTTGCAGCGGCTGTGCACGCCCCGGCGCCCTACCTCGCAGCCCCACTGCCGGATTGGGGGTCGGGGGGTGGGAAGGGCTTGGGGAATGCCCACCGCCCCAGACGGTGCGTGACTGACCCTCGCATTCCCAGGGCCTCAGCGCAGGCCGGGATGTTTGTCCTGGTGGAGATGGTGGACACCGTGCGGATTCCCCCGTGGCAGTTTGAGAGGAAGCTCAACGACTCCATTGCCGAGGAGCTGAACAAAAAGTTGGCCAACAAGGTACTGGGCCCACGGGGTCGCTGGCAGGCCCTGGCACCGGCGGGCGCAGCACTACCCACCTGCCCGCTGCAGGCCTGGCCTTGGTCATGCCAGACCTTGGCCTTGGTCAAGTAGCTTAACGTCTCAGAACTCGGTTTCTTCACCTGTACAGGGGATGGGGGTAATCCCTCTGCACGAAGGATGTCAGAGGGAATCAAAAAAGAAACTGGGTTTGAAAAAGGCTCTTGTAACTGGGAAATGCTAGATTCTGCACTGCCAAATTACTTTGCAGTCTTGGGCAGATCACTTACCCCTCTGGGCCTCAGTTTCCATTTGTAAAATGGAAATAATAATGGTTGTCCAACCGTGCACTGTTTTTGTGAAGATGGACAGAGTGGTTTAGAGTTCACCGTCAGGAGGTTTATCCATTCATTCCTGCAAAAAAGTATTTGTGCACCTTTTATATGCCAGCCCTACATGACTTAGTGACAGCTAGTCTGGGGCTTCCTGCTGCCTTTTCTGTAGTAACCCTTCCTCAGTTACTCTGTGTCCTATCACTCTTTCCTTCTTAGATGATTGTGGTTTTTTTTCCGGCTCCATGATGGCAGGCACCTTTGTCTTCCCCACACGGTGCCCTCATATTTAGCCAGAGCCTGGCACATAGCAGATGTTCCATAATTGTCTGTTGATTGAATGAAGCAGACAAGGTTCTACCCTGTAGTGTGGTGGGGAGAGCAGATATGAATGAGAGGGACCCACAGTTGAGTATGTGATGACAAGTTGAGGTAAGTGCTGTGAAGGACAGGCATTCACAAGTCTGGAATGGAGGAGAACTCTGCCTACGGTGAGGGAGAACGCAGCTTTGTTAGGGATGTGGCATTTGAGCTTGAGCTGAGAGATGATGCTGAAGAGGAACTAACTAGGGGATTCTTTTTTTTTTTTTAAGATTTTCTTTCTTTATTTGACAGAGAGAGAGAGAGACAGCGAGAGAGGGAACTCAAGCAGGGGGAGTGGGAGAGGGAGAAGCAGGCTTCCCGCTGAGCAGGGAGCCCGATGCGGGACTTGATTCCAGGATCCTGGGATCATGACCTGAGCCGAAGGCAGAAGCTTAATGACTGAGCCCCCCAGGCGCCCCGAGGGGATTCATTTTTGAGGGTGGGAGAGGGCTGTGCAGAGAGAAGAGCTGGGCAGGCAAAGGAAACAGCATGCGCAAAGGCCCTGTGGCAGGAGGGAATGTTTCACCCATCATAACATGGAGGAGGCTGGTGTGGCCTGGGCAGAGGAAGAGAGGGGAGGGCAGACTGGAAAGGTGGCAGGAGTCAAGCCGCACAGGGCCTGCAGGATGTCAGTCCTGAGTCACAGGCGGTATTGGTCTTCATCTGTAGACTAGCAGGAAGTGATAGGCTGAGAAGGAGCCAGCAAGAGGAAGGTTGGGCTGGCTTTAGACAGGAGGCCAGTCCTTTCCATAGAGGCTGAGGTCATAGAAGGGAGGTGTATGGATCTAGGGAGTTGTTGGTGGAGAGAACTCATGAAGTCCTTAGTGGATGGCTTCCGGTTACTTTGTGAGGTAGAAGGTCAAGGGGTCTGTGGAGGGACGAAGTGTGAGCATTTTGGAGAGAGAAGGTGTGAAAAGTCCAAGAAGGGCATGTAGTCCCTTTGGGTCCTTCAGTGACCTGTTGAGATGAGTCTTCTGTATTTGAGTCATTTGCGAGGAGGCTGCACAGAAGAGGTCCGTGGTCCCGCCAAGGGCACAGATCTTATGCTGCCGAAGCCAGCCAGACTCTGTTGCTTCATTGTGGTGAGGTCTGGCCCGGACCCTAAGTTCTCTGAGCTTCTTGCTAATCGTTGAACAGTCCTGCAGGGCTGTAACTGGGAGGTGATGACACTGGTGGCAGATAGGGTGACACCAGCGGGCCGGTGGCTTGGAGCACTATAGGGTGCGGAGGGGGCATAGGATGCTGTCTGCCTAGTCTCGGGGCCTTGGCCCTGGGTCACTCTGCCAGCCTCAGTCCCTGCAGCCACGGCTGTGTCTCCTGCTTTGTGAGGGGCATGGGGGATTAGCCGGGCCTCTGACACCAAGCCCTGAGCTCTAGCATGGACCTGAGACTTTGGGAAGTGCAGGTTTAAACCAGGTTTCCCTGGTTGTCAGGGATCCTGACTAATAATAGTGATCCGTGGTTGACTATTATTACTTCTAGCGTGTAAGCCAGACACTGGCATGGGGCTTCACATCCATTCCCTCTGTTTAACAAACCTGCAGCCTGGGAGGTCCATTTTTGCAAATGGGGGAAACTGAGGCTCAGAGAAGTGACCTTGGAGGTCACACAGTGAGTGTTGGAACTGGCAGTGTAACCGGGATCTGCCTTGTCACAAAGGCCCCACTCTTTCCAGAGCTCTGCATCCTTCAGAGGCCCCTGACCCATGGTTACCTCAGATGGTGCCCCAACTCATTTCTGGCTGTAAAACGGGGTAATCATTACCTGCCGTGGGTGGTGAGGGTCTCAGGAGAGCATGCTGGGGAGCTGGGCCTCAGTGTCACGGTGTGTGTGTGTGTGTGTGTGTGTGTGTGGATGCACACAGGTCGTGTACAACGTGGGGCTCTGCATCTGTCTGTTTGACATCACCAAGCTGGAGGACGCCTACGTGTTCCCAGGGGACGGCGCGTCGCACACCAAAGGTCGGTGCCCTTTCCTCTTTTTTTTTTTTTTAAGATTTTTTATTTATTCGAGAGTGTGCATGAGCAAAAGCACAGGGGGGGAGGGGCAAAGAGAGAGGGAGAAACAGACTCCCTGCTGAGCAGGGAGCCTGATGTGGGGCTCGATCCCAGGACCCCCAGGTCATGACCTGAGCCGAAAGCAGACGCTTAACTGACTGAGCCACCCAGGCAGCCTGCCCTTTCCTCTTTGGCATTGGGTTTCTTGGGGTTTGGTTTTTGGTTGTGGGAATCCTGGTCTAGGGATTGGGAGACCTGAGGCCTAGTCCTGACTCTGCCAGGAATTGACTGGGTGACAGTGGGCAGAATCTTCCCCTGTCTAGGCCTTGGTTTCTTCACCTATAAGAAATGGTGGACGAGATGATTTTTTTTTTTAAGGATTTCATTTATTCATTTATTTGAGAGAGAGAGCACGAGAGAGTGTGCACGCACCAGTGGGGGGAGAGGGAAAGGGGGAGAACCCCAAGCTGATTCCTTGCCGAATGTGGAATCCAACGCAGGGCTCGATCTCATGACCCTGAGATCAAGACCTGAGCTAAGAATCTGTCGCTACGTGACTGAGCCAGGTGCCCCAGACAAGGTGATTCTGGAGGCCTCTCTTGCTCTGAGATTGTGGCTCCGTGTCTGTGCCCCCTTTGGTCTCATCTATTACTGAGCCCTACTCTGCCTGGCCATCAGGCTGCTCAGTCTGATTGGAGGGGTGGCCAGACAGGTGAGGGCACTTGGAATGGTCATTGCTGGATTAAAAGTGGAGAGCAGGGGTGTCTGGCTGGTTCAGTTGGTAGAGTGCGTGACTCTTGATCTCGGGTTGTGAGTTCAAGACCATGTTGGGTGTAGGGATTACTTAAAATCTTTAAAAAAATAAATAAAAATAAAAGTGTGGAGAGCCAAGGGGAGTGCATCTGTCTCTTAGGGAGGAGGCTGGTTGAGGGTGGGGGACTTTGAGGGGCCCTAGAACTTAATGGTTAAGTGTAGTCTCTGGGATTCAAATCCCACTTGGCCACTTGTTTGCTCTGTGTCCTGTGTAGAATATGTAATCTCTCCATGCCTCTGTTTCCTTGCCTATAAAATGTAGTTAACAGTAGATTTTATATTACAGGACTGTTGTGAGAATACTAAATTAATACATGCAAAGGCCTAGGATGGGTCCTTCGCACATCAGGAGGGCTCAGTGGCTCATTGATTTGAACTGTTTCTCCTGATTTCTGTGGATCCGCTAAATGGGTTCTTCTGGGCTGGCCTGTCCAGGGCTGGGTGGGGTAGGATGGCCTCATGTGTCTGGTGGTTGGCAGACTGGCTGCTGGGGAGGAGGGGGTACAGCTCATCTCTGCTGCATGTGGTCTCTTCTTCCTGTAGGAAGAGCCCATTGGCCAGAGCAGGTCACATGGCTGAGGCTGGCCAAGGGATGGGAAAATAGACTCCACCTCTCGGTGGGAGGAGCTGCAGTCCCATAGCAAAGGGGTGTGCACCCTGGGAAGGAAGGCAAGGTTGGTTAGCAGTCCTGGACGAGTAGAGCGATGGTCACCTTGGCTAGGGTTCTCAGGGAGGGCGTGGGGCGTTCTCTGTCCTCCCTGGACCCAGCCAAAGCAGCAGAGGGCAAGGGAGGGGCTGCTGACGTGGTTCGGGGCGAATTAGCGGGTAGGCCTGCAGCTTGCCACGCGCTAGGCACTCCGAGCTGCTGAATCACAGTCTCTGGAGATGAGCCCGCAGACTGTGTTTAACAAGGAGCCAGGTGCTTTTCACACAAGGCCAAGTGTGAGGAGCCCTGCCCTAGCCCATCCTGGTCAGCCTCTGGACACAGAGATGTCGAGCATTCCAGAACGTGCCATGAGGCTGCCTCGTGTCTGTGTCCAGGAGTCCAGAGACTTAATTAGATTCACAGAGATGTTACCGTGCTCTGTGGACAGCCCTAGGAGCACTTAGCAGAGAAATTAAACGGAGACGTGAAAACAAGACCACAGGGCCTCTGTTTACGGAGAAGGATGCCCTTGAGCTGAGCCCAGTCTCTGCCTTTAGACTTGCCCTGGACAAGTGGTGAGAGGCACCAGAACTTCAAGGAAGACTGGGAGGAAGAAGTTAAACTCGAGGAAATTCTGTTCTTTCATTTGGTTGTTTCTGCCACTTGGTGTAAGATTTCCACTGTTGGTTTTCATTGTCCCCCCACCCCCAGTTCACCCTGGGCCCCCTGGTTCCTTGGGAATGAGGTGTGAGGATTAGGGCCCTGGGTGAAGCATGTCACATGGACCCAGATTTGAATTCTGGCTCTGCTCCCTGCCCCGCACCGGATGCGGACCTTGAGCAGGTAACGCCGCCTGTCTTGGCCTCGGGTTCCTCATCTGTAAAATGGGGTCAACACTTGGAGCTGTGAAGCTCGCTGTGGTCTGCGGAGCGCCGTGCATGGTGGTGCTCTGTTGTGGGGATCAATGCCGTGCTTTAAGGCTGATCCTCCACCCCGGGCCCTGTTCCTGCCGCCCCCCCAGGCCACTGCCTCACCCAGGGCTGTGGCCAGGGTGTGTGGAGGGAGGCCTCAGCCCCATGCCTCCCCCTTTGTTTTGAGGGCTCTTCATTTGCTTATTGCCTTGGACTTCCTTCTCCCCGGGCCAGGTCGCTTCACCTCTCTCGGACTGTAAGTGCTCACAAGACGTCAGCCTCTGTGACTTGTGACACTGCGCCCGGGTGTCCAGCCTCAGCTCTTGTCACTTAGGGTACTTGGACATGGCACCATGGCCATGTTCCCCTTGCCCCACAAGCTGACTGGCCCCGGGGGAGCCCCTCTTGACCTGCTCGGAGCTCCAGAGTGGACTGTCCTCATGCCCACCGTTTGCTTCATTCTGGTTCTTTTTTTTTTGGTTTTAAGTTGTGATAAAATATATATAACATAAGATTTACCATGTTAATCATTTTTAGTGCCCAGTTCAATGGCTTCCAGTACAGTCATTGCTGCGTGACCACCACCAACCTTGTCATCTTGCCAAACTGAAACTCTGCCCCTCTTAAGCCTCCACTCCCCATTCCCAGCAGCTCCAGGCCCTGGAAACCACCGTTGTACTTTCTGTCTCTATGAATTTGACTACTTGAGGTACTTCGTATAGTGGAATCATCTAGTGTCTGTCCTTTGCAGAAACTCACTACATCCCGAGGCAGCCCCGCTGCTCCTGGGATTTGGCCCGAGCCTGCCCCTGAGAGCGGGTCTTCCTCTTACTGATCCTGCAGCACCATCCTTACTGACTTTCCCGGCTCCTGTCTGTCCACTACACACCCCGGAACTTGAGGTCGGGCTCTTGGGAGGTGGCTCCAAATATGGCCCTGGCCCGGCTGGCCCTCCTGCTGGTCTGTGGCCTCCTTTTTGTTTTTAATGGAGATCTCATTTACATGCCATAAAATTCACCCATTTAAAGCTTACATTCGGTAGCTTTTAGGATATTCAGAGTTGTGCAACTGTCACCACGATCTCATTCCAGAACATTTTCCCCCACCTCCGAAAAGTAACCCCGTACCTACCAGCAGTTGCTCCTCATGCTCCCCTCCCCCAGCCCCTGGCAAACGCGGATCTACTTTCCATCTCTGGGTTCGCCTATGCTGGACATCTCATATAACGGAGTCACACGGTATGTGGTCCTCCGGAACTGGCTTATTTCACATGACGTGATGTCCTCGAGCTCCATCCGTGTTGTGGCAGGTGTCTACTTCCTCCCTTTTTAAGACTGAGTAATATTCCGTTGTGTGGATAGACCGCATTACGTTCGCCCCCTCTTCCCTCGTGCTTCCTGCCTGGTGGGGCCGCGGAGAGGCCGCCTGGCAGGGAGCTGGGGGCCCCGTCGGCCCTAGGGCGGCGTCGGCAGAGCGGGGAGCTGAGGGTGCTACGGGCGGGAGCCTGTGTGGGGGTGAAAGCTGTCTGGGAAGGTAGATTCCACCCTGTGGCCGTGTTTGGTGGCCCAGAAAGGCTTGGAGTCCTCCCCTGGCAAAGCAGGACAGAAGAGCTGAGTGGCTGTGAGCAGGTCACGCGGCCCCTCTGCGCCGCTTCCCATCCTCATGGCGGGGAAGCGCGACAGCCGACACGGGTGGGTGGCGATGGGCACCGTGTGACCAGCAGGACGTAGCCTCACGGTTATTCTCTAGCTCTGGCGGGGGTCAGGCCAGTGCTGGTCACCCCTTTGGGGCTATTGGGCAGGAGTGACGAGGTAATGGCTTCTGCCAGGTCCTGGGGGTCTGCCGCGTTGGGGACCACCTAGGGCAGGGCCTGCGAGCCCACAGAGGCATTTTTGTTGGCTTCTTGCCTCTGCCTCCCCATGGCCCCGTCCATTTCAGGGCATTTTTAACGTCCTGTTCCAGGTCAGAGCTGTGCCCGGGGCAAACTTTCCCATCAGAGGGAGACGGAAGACTTGTTTCTGAACCTGGCTCCCTTTGCCGGTTACTTCTGCCCCTTCTAGAATTTAAGGGAGTGAGTCTGGAGGAAGGGTGGAATTGACTTTGGAGTCATCCATGGCCCAGAATCTGGGTTCAGGAGTGACTTGTCAGGTGGGCTTGGGGGCCAGCCCTCCGTTCAGGGCCACTGCTGTTGGCCTGTTACGGGGGCTGCGCTGTGGCCTTGCAGGGGACGGGGTGTGGGTTCCTGCAGCTCCACTGGTGGGTCTGGACCCACAGAGGGACTGGGTATGAAGGGCCCAGCGGACTCTGGGGTAGCCACAGGGCCTCCAGGTCAGCGGGCTGGCGAGTATGGTCAACACTGGGAAGCCGGGGCCGCTGCAGAGCAGCCATCCCTCACGTGCCTGCTCGTCACTGACATTCTTCCTTCACTTCCAGTCCATTTTCGCTATGTGGTGTTCCATCCCTTCCTGGACGAGATTCTGATTGGCAAGATCAAAGGTTGCAGCCCGGAGGGAGTGCACGGTAACGGTGGCCCCGATCCTCAGACGAAGCCTGGGAGCACGTTGGGGCAAGTGGCCAGGCCAGCAGGCCTCCCTTCAGCTTCTGGGCTGGGCCACAGGTCGGGGCGGGGGCTGTCAGGTAAGCTGGGGGCGGGGGGAGGGCAGTACGCAGCCCCCTCGTGCTCACGCAACAGTGAAGGCCTTGGCCAGCTGTGGGGCTTCACCGTGAGGCCTTCCCTCAGAACCGCCGCCTGGACACAGCAGCTGCCAGAGGGGGCTCGGGGTCCCAGGCACCCTCTGGTCCTGGTTTTGCGTGATGTCCACTGCAGGTTTTGGTGGCTGAGTGGACTAGGCGGGGGCGTGGGGCTCCGAGGTGGGGGTGGGGGGCTCAGATTTCCATGGCAACAACTGCCCTTGTCCCATGCTGTCACTTTCTCGTGTGTTCCAGTCTCTCTAGGGTTCTTCGAGGACATTCTCATCCCCCCTGAGTCGCTGCAGCAGCCAGCCAAGTTGTATCCTCCCAAGGTTAAAGAGGGTCACAGGGGAGCTCAGGTCTTTCCAAAGGACCGTCCCCACTCCTTGGGGTGACCCTGGGGCCTGGATCTGACACTGCTGACTTTTGTGTCCACCCCCCCCCCCCGCCCCGGCCTGCACTCGTGCTCCAGAAGCGCTGTCCTGCCCTTGCTCCCATGTTACCCGTGGTGTCCCCACGCCCCTGCCCCCGTCTGTGCTCTAGTGCTCTGTAGGTGGGGTGCTGTTCCCTTGGCTTAGGTTGTCCTCTCAGGGATCATCTCGGAGATCCCGTCCCTGGAGAGGTTTGTTCTGACTGGCTCGCCTCCCCGCTTCCCTCGTATGCGAACCGTACCGTTGGCTGACGTTTGAGGGCTTGACTGTGCCTGGTCCTGTGCTGGGTTGAGTTTCCCTCTGCTGGCTTCCCCCATTGCCCTGCCCGAGCCCTTGCCTGGTCGCCCTAGGGCTGTCTGTTTCTGGGGGTCCTCACTGAGGCTGCTCCCTGGAAGGGACCCCATCTTGTCAGGACTGTGTCCCCAGGGCCCAGCAGGGGACCGGGCTCCAAGGCCGGGGGTGGGGGTGGGGTGGGGAGGGAGGGTGTTAAGGCCGGACCCTGCGCGGGACCGCCACTAGAGGGCGCTGTGGCTCCTCAGTGTGGTCTGAGGGAGGGGTTGGGGCTTTGGCGGGAGTCCCAGGGTGCTGCCCTCACTGGTTCATCGGCGCACTCTGGCTCGGCCTGTGCGGGCCAGGGCCAGGGTCTGTGGGGCACGCCAGGGCTTGTCAGGAAACCTGGCCCTGCCCGGCTGGGGCTCTCGCTGGCTGTGGGCCCTCAGGCAGGTGGCCTTCCGGCAGCCGTGTCTGTCCTGAGCACCGGAAAAGTCCTTGCGCTGCATGTTGGTCATTTTCACAGGGTGTGAGGGAAAGGGGTGTGGAGTCGGACAGCAGAGAACATAGCACAGCTTCAGCTAGCACCCCAGGGCCGACTGTGCGGGTCCCACGGAAAGCACTTTCTGGGTGTGCTGCGTTATTACCTCCTCACCACAGCCCTGCGCGGGCAGGCCTTGCCACAACCTGTTTTACACATGGGGACCCGAGGCTCAGAGGTTGGGCCTGGCCCGGGTCACGGCCGGTGGAGCGGAGGTCTGAACGTGGCGGCTGGCCTGAGAGGACCCGGGCAGCAAGAGGCCTTCGTCACTCCTGCCTCAGGAGGTGGGGCTCGCTCTGCTCTTGAGCCTTCTTCCTGCTCGGGGGCCCTGAGGATGTGTGTGCCCGCCTGGCTGTGGTGCCGGGTGGGGGGGGGCCTGTGTTCCCCAGCCCCCAGCGTTCCTGCTCTTGCCTGTGGGGTCCAGACCTTGCCCAGCCTTGCCTCATGCACGTGGTGTGGGCCTGTCTCTGCTTGACACCCCCAGCCAAGGGGCTCTCATCCTTGGATGGGGTTTGCCTGGGGGAGGAACCCCCCCCACCCGCGGGCTGCCCCCTCCCTGGTTGTTGCCTTGACTCCGCACCCCGCCCAGCGACGAGGCAGAGCAGGTGTGGGTGTGGGAGTACGAGACAGAGGAAGGAGCGCACGACTTGTACATGGACACCGGCGAGGAGATCCGCTTCCGGGTGGTGGACGAGAGCTTTGTGGACACGTCCCCCACGGGGCCCAGCTCGGCCGAGGCCACGTCTTCCAGTGAGGAGCTGCCAAAGAAGGAGGCTCCGTACACGCTTATGGTGAGATGCGCACGGGCACCGGTGTGGTGGGAGAGCCCAGGCACGGGAGCGGCTTCCTAGGGTGTTGACTTGGGGTTCCCCGCCTGGGGCCCCTCTCCCCGCAGGTCAGGGCGCCAGTCCCTGATGAGTTCTTAGGTGGTCACTTCTCCCTGGGGAGCGTGTTTCAGAAGCCAGGGCGTAACACTGGGAGCGTCAGACTCCTGGCGGCAAGAGGGGCTGAGCCCACGCTGGGTGACAAGGCTGCTGATAAGCAGGCTGAGGGAGAAAGCAAGTGGGGAAGGGGCTTGGGAGCAGGTCAAGCACAAGAGTGGGGGCTTCAGGGAGGGGTGAGCCTCCGTCGGGGCCGCTCCCACACCCGACCAGGTGTGCACATGGGGTGGCAGGGGAGCTGTGACCAGACCTGACCAGGGTTCCCTGGGTCTTCTACCCTCATGAAGTGACTGTGATGCAGGACAAAGTAGGACACGTTTCTGGGGCCTGCTAGGAGGATTTCCTGGTATGATTGCGCTGCAGGTGGTTTGCTTTGGGGGCTGCTTGTGCTTTGTCAAAAATCTGGGTGGCCAAGGGCATCCCCTCTGCATGTTCTTGGAGGCTGGGGTGCAGGGTCACTAGGCCTTCCTGGCAGGACTGAGAGCGTGCCCAGGCCTGGCCTGCCGCTGGCCATGTCTGGACAGGCCTGGCGGCGAGGAAGGGAACCTGACCCAGCTGAGGCCTTGGGGCCAGAGGCATGCCCTTTAGAGAACCAGCACTTTCCTTAGAGGCCTCAGGTGAGGTTGGGGCAGGAAAGGGGAGCTGGGCTGTGTTTCCGGGTGCCAGCCGGGAGTGCTGGGGGGGCGGCCTCTGGATTTCCCCCATCCTCCTCTTGGCTGGTGTGTGCCTGCTCCACTATTCCCTTTGTGCGGGACACCCGGAAGGGTGGGCCCCTCTGCCTCCCGAGGTGGCTCAAGCCCTGAAGGTAGATGAAATGTTCTTGTTTTCTCTCTCCCCGCGCAGGGATCCATCAGTGAGCCAGGCCTGGGCCTTCTCTCCTGGTGGACCAGCAGCTAGCCCTGGGGCTCGACGGCGGACCTCGGCCAGTCCGGCAGACCCCAGCCCAGCCCTGGGGAAGTGGTGCAGCCGGCCGTGAGGACCACAGCCACTTCCGCAGACGCCGAGGAGCAGAGTGTGTGCCCCGCCGGACTGGAGCTATCCCCGGAGTCCGCTCTCCCTCTGGACCTCTGCCTCTCGGCGACGGCACAGACTTTTAATAAAAGACGGCGTCAGTCAGGGAGGAGCCACCCTGTCTCTGTGATCTAAGGTCACTGAGCTGCCACAGCTGGGACCGCCTGTCCTTCCTTCTCCCCGGGTCACTTCTGCAGGTGACCTGCCCCCGTGGCAGGACTTGGGGGATTGAGGGCCTCAGGCTGGGCTCTGGGCTAAGCGCGGTGGCTCCCTAAAGTAACTGAGCGAGAGGCTGACCTGGGGTAGCTGCTAGTTGTCAAGTCTTGACCTTTCAGGGACAGCGGCCTTTTTCCCCACCAGTGTTTGGAAGGCGGGGGCCTGGACTCAGGCAAGCCAGCGCCGTCAGGAAAGTGGAGGCCGTGGGCTCAGGTGGCCCGAGGGCCAGGCTGGTGACCAGCTGTGTTACCCGCCCCCCCCCCCCCCCCCGGCAGGACCACGGTTACTTTCAGACCTCGGCCATGCGTGGGCCTGCTGTCGGCACCAAATCCCAGACGAGGGCAAACAGCACCTTGTTTATTCAGCACAGGGGCTCTGCCAGGTTCCTCCTGCCTCTTCACTCACTTCCACAGGACCCGCAGGCTTGTTTTATGGCACCCACGGGACACCGAGTTTCTGTCAGGCAAGTCTCGTGCTGAGGAAGGGCCCTCCCTGGAGCCCACCTCCTGCTCTGGCCGCCTCTGTTCACACGGGCACCAGGGCACCGGGGCGTGGGTCCTGCCTGGGGACGGCGCTCCAGGGGAAGCAGCAGCTGCAGAACGATGCCCGCCCCCGCGTGGCACCATGGCCTTGAGGGAGGCGGATAAGTCCACGACCAGGGGAAGGACACAGGGGGGCCATGCGGATGCTGGGGAGCGGGGAGGGGAGGCTGGCCCGGGGGCAGGAAGGTGGGACTAAGAAGTGGGAAAGCGGCCTTCCCACTTGAACTTCCTGGCAGTGGCAGGTCTGCTGTGGCGTGGCCAGTGGGGGCCTCTGCCGACTGGCCACAGCGACCCACCCTGCGCCCTGGAGTCGGTAACGGTACGGATACCACCACTCACACACAGGGACAGTCACTGAGTTTGGATTCTTAATTTTCCTTGTAAGAGCAAAAGTTTCTTTAAAATCTTTGAGCCACCAGTGAAATGATGCAGGAGAAAAACTTTAGACGGGAGTCTTGTCATCAAAAATAAATAGCTGAATGGAGTTGCTCAAGATCTCAATCAAACTAAACATGGGAAGGCAGGGGGGGCTGGAACATTCTTTTAAGAACCCCCCCGCCCCCAACCGTGGGTCACTCAGGCTGAGCACACCGTCTTGGAGCAGGAAGCCGTGGCTGGATCTGGGTGGATCCAGTTCTGATGACGTGTGGACTGCACTGGGGACCCCGGAGTCGGGTCCAAGGAGCAGGCGGGCAGGGTGCAGAGCCCGACCTTAATGCTGCTGCAGTTCCTTCATTCTGTTCAGAGCACTGCCGGCACGGAACCACTCGATCTGGGTCTCGTTGAAGGTGTGGTTCAGGAGGATGGTCTCCTGGGTCCCGTTGGGGTGCTTGATGATGCATTTCAGGGGCTGTTGAGAGTAGGGGGAAGTGGAGTGGGTCTTAGGAACACAGCCCTGGATTCTGGTGCAGGGTCAGGGAGGTGGGGTGCACGCAAGGTGAACCTCGGGCCAGCAGGCAAACCAAGCTCTAGGCCAGGTCCTGGCTTGGGTGGCCCCAGTAAGACCTGGATGGCATGACTCCCAGGGACAAGAGGGTCCTGCTCTGCATGGGCTGTTGGCCTGAGTGCCAAGCCTGCCCTGATGCGTGGGCCTGAGCTGGCTCCACCCTTGTCTCTGGGAAGGCACTTCCTTCCCTCCGACGCGGGTGCCATGAGAGTTTAAGGGCCCCTGCAGCTGAAACAAAGACTCATGGGAGGAGAAGGAGGGGAAGCAAGGTGGCTGTCCCCGACCTGCCCTCCCTCCCTGGCCCCCTGACCTTGCCAGGAGCAAAATCTTTCAGGCCCTGGATGGTCAGCTTGTCCACGGGGTGAATCTTATTGTAGTCGGCTGGGTCAGCGAAGGTGAGGGGCAGCAAGCCCTGCTTCTTCAGGTTGGTTTCTAGAAGGCAGAGAGCATAGGGTCATTCCATAGCACGCAGGGCCAGTCCCCCCTCGCCCCCGCTTCTCTGCACAGGGAGCCTCACCAGCCTAAGAGCTTCCTTTTCTAAGCCCAGCAAAGGCTCTGGGAGAGGCACCCTGGTCCTGCCATCTGGAAACAACTCTGAGCAGAACTAAAAGGACCAGGGTGGCTATACTCCCAATGACAGGGTCCCTTCTGCCTGAGCCTACGTCAGCGTGCTGGTTTGGGTCTCCATTGGCCTTCCTGACAGACATACACAATCAGAACATCCCCTGACCACGTGCCCTGGATTTCTGCTGCTTAGGTCTGCAAGTTTGGAAGCAAGTTCCCATCTTGGGAAGCAGTGGGCCTTGGACCCAACGCAACTCAGAAGGGGCAGAGACTGGTGGAAAACGGGAGCTGTGGACACGGTGTGGAAACCAGTCGCGTGGCTCCAGGCCTGACTCCACCACCGGCAGGGCGGGTGACCGTGGGCTGCCAGGGAGGGGAAGCGGATGTGGCGCGACCTGACTCCACCTTACCATGGATCCTGGCAAAGCTCTTGGTGATGATGGCCCGGCCCCCGAGGTGGCGAGGCTCCAGTGCTGCGTGCTCCCGGCTCGAGCCCTCCCCGTAATTCTCATCTCCGATCACTACCCACCGGATGCCGTGTTTCTGTCAGACAAATGAGGCGGCCATGAGGGCGAGGACGCTGGCCCCCTGCCTGCTGGCCCTGGGCTTCCTGAGATTCACAGGTCAGGGGGCCGGAGAGGCCCCTCCCTATCTGCTCCCCAGGGGCTGGTGAAATCAGAGGTCAATCAGGCCCCAATCAGGCCCTGAGGGGACGGAGGTGATCAGACACGGGCCCTGACTCTCTGCAAGGGGCATGGGGAGGTGCCACCTACCCACCGTACTCAGGACAGAGGCAGGTGTTGGGGGAAGGCCAGTGTGGGATCGGAGCAGAGCCCAGAGCAGGGGTATGTGGTGAGGGTGACACAGGACTGCCCCCGTGGCACCAGGGCATCCTTCAACTGCAGAGCTATTGGTGTGGGCTCCTGGGGGGGGGGGGAGCACCCCTTCCCTGCATCCCTGCCCCCGCCCCCACCGACCGGGACCCACCTTGTAGTAGCGGGCAGTATCAGGGACAGGACCAAACTCCTGGGTGACGGCATTGCGCACGGAGTTGGCCTTGCCATTTTCGATGTTGATGGCGCCAATGAGCAGGTTATTGGAGATGTTGTCCAGGTGCCCACGGAACTTGAGCCAGGGGCCCGCAGCCGAGATGTGGTCGGTGGTACACTTCCCTTTGACCTTGGGTGGGTGAGAAGAGAGGACAGAGATCAGGGCACGGCGCGGGAGAGCTGGACGAAGGGAGAAGCCCTCTAGAGGCTGGCAGCAGGCCCAGCACCTGCAACCCAGGAAGGGTGACAAAGGCAGCAGGTCTGGCTTTGGACACACAGTCTGCCACCATGGCCTTGCTATACTTTGACAAGGGCTCAGGCCAGACCGTCCCTGACCCCTTGAAGGGCCTGGGCTGCTCGGTGACTTGTCCGGGACAGGACACCCACAGGCAGGTCTGCTCACTCACCCTTCTGACCTAGGCCCCCAGGCAAGTGATGCCCAGGCAGGAAGACCAGCCACAGACCTCATGCGGGACCCAGAGGAGCCCAAGGACGTGTCCTGATTGGCTGGTCACCAGTTTTATCGATCATGTGGGCTTAATACCGACTGCCACTGCCTGAGGACCTTTAGTAAACAACAAAAATTCATGCCTGACATGGGTCTGAGGCCTCTGGCCACACCACAGAGGCTTGTGTCCGCTCGACTCCCAGACACAGGCCAGACCAACCGATGCCCAACTGCGGGAGCAGAGAACTCTGTGGCTTCTGGAGCCTGTGTGGTCAAGCCAGAGGCGTGGAGACCTGGTGCCCTTCTGGCCTTTCCTGTGCTGCACCCACGGCCCGTGGCCGCTGCAGGTGGCCCTCACCAGCTGCCGCTGATGGCTGAGCACCCCAGACACAGCTGGCCAGATCCGGCTCGGCCTGGCATGGGGCAGGGGAGAAAGGGACACTGGGCCGTGGAGGCCCTGGTTCCTCTGCAGCCGGACCTCCCTGCCGGCCCCCGCCCCGACTTTCCCCACCGGCGCCCCGGGGAGAGCACGTGGTTCCACAGCCCTTCCTGCCGCTGAAGGCAGGGCCTGGGCAGGCCGGGGCTGTTCTCCCCCTGCCGCTGACCTTGATGAGGATTTGCAGGTCCTCCAGGTCTTTGCCGTCCCACTTGTCAAAAGGCTCCAGGAGCTGCAGGCGTTGGCTGGTGGGGCTCACATCTACCCGCTGCCCGCTACTGTCCTTGGGAGGGTGCTGGTAGGTGTCCTGCCCAGGGTCGAACTCCTGCAGGAGGAGGTCGGGACATGCTGGGTGCCTAGTCCTCCGTCCCCATGAGCACAGGCTCCTGTAGAAGGCCCCCCTCTCCCCATGCATGGAGCTGCCTCATTCTCTCTCCCAGTGCCAACCTGCCTGCCCAGGAAGGGCAGGGTCTTAGCCCCATGGCGAGCGGCAGGGCCTGCTCACCGCTCGGGGAAGCTCGTCTGCATCTGGAGCCTCCAGCTTGAATTTCTTGCCATCCTTGCCTGTCAGGAAGTCAGTCTCTGGGTTGAAGTTGAGGGTGCCAGCAATGGCCAGGGCTGTGACAATCTGGAATGGAGGTGGCCCACTGCTGGTTAGCACCAAACACCACTCCCATCCCCCACCCTAGCAGGAGCCCAGATGGAAACGGGGAATGGAGCCCAGGTACATCTAAGTTCTCCACACACAAGTCCTCCCGACAGAGGCCAGAGCTGCAAGAACGTCTCTGGGGATGCAGGTCACGGGCATGCGCTGGGGCCCTTGTTCCCAAATGGGCGGCTGAAGACATGGAAGGAAGGCGCCACCTCTTCAGTCACTTTTGTTGGCTAAAAGTATTTCTGGAATAC